TTGATAGTTACATGCAATGGATGTCTCTGTGTGGTTGTGCTAATGCCACTGCTCTTGAGAAATGAAGCATCAGCCACTGTTAATACTGCAGCAGCACTCATCCTGAAAAGCCCATTTATGTTTGCAGTTGTGGATTATGGGATTGTAGAGAAGGTACAGGAAAAAGCAGCAGAAATTATTGAAGATGTAAAATAATTTCACTATGGCTAAGTAGAGTGGGACTGTCAGCCCAAAGGAGAGATGACTTGGGTGGGGAAAAGCTAGTCTTCCAGAAAATCTGGAGTGACATTAGGGAAGTGACTGCTACCTCACCCAGTATGAGGAAATCAAATTAAATCAGCATGTTTCACAAACATAAGATGAGCTATTTCCTCTCATGTTAAATGGTGAAATATATTGCCTTAAGACATCCTGGACATTAAAAGTTTACATAGTCAAAAAAATAACTAGATAAAATAACAAGGGGAGGGAAGGGCCATCAGGATCTACAGATTCTGCTGTCTCAGAAAAGAAAGACCTGTGCCTTGCTAGAATTTGGTAGAATTTAGCTTGAAACCATCTGTGTGTAGCTGCACCACCCTTAGACTCTTCTATAGGCATCTGTTATGAGTCACTGTGAGAGACAGAATTGCTGGGTAGGTCAACCTTTGATCTTAGCAACAAATCCCAGACTTACTTGTTGAAGAGGAGCACATTTTAAGGAGGTAGGTTGTTTTTGTGAACTTCTAGTGGCCTATCTCTAACAAGAAGGTGGTACAATATTTATAACAAAAGTAAGACTCTGAGAGAAATAACCTTTTCTTAAATCATCTGAGAAATAATGCTTTATTAAATTACTGATACATTCAAAAGGAAGAAAACTGAGAAATTTCAGGTGCATAGGCTTCTCTCCAGGTATTTCAATTTAATGTGAAATGTGCTTTTTTTTTTTAAAGTTCCCTGTTTTTACCCCTCCGACATACCTGTTTGTTTTACAATTACTAAAAAAGCATTAGTAAAGGGGATGGTTAGATTTGGAATCACTGACTTTCAGGTAGCAAGTGTGGTAGGGCAGTGGAAAGGTACGTTTTGTATATAATAAGAAGAAACACTTGTGCATCTGAGTTTCCAAGATGACTTCCTTGTAACTGCATGGTTTAAAATCTCTTCAGTCATGAAGTCCAGGCATGTAGGTAGTGAAAAAGCGTGATTTTTGTGTCAGTATTGGAACAGATGTTTGTCAGCTAGCCAACAACCATGAAAAACCAATGCAGCCAAGTGTAACGGTGATTATGATAAAAATAAACCCTCTCCTTGAGGGCTGCGACCTAACAAGCTCTTTGCATCATCAAGATTTCTCACTTCTACTGTAGGCATTAGAAATTCCTGATTTTATTTTTTGTTGGCAAGTAGGCTGTGTTCTGACTAGGAATGAGTTGTGCAGTCTCTTTGTTAAATGCTGAGCTATTGTTAGATAAGAAATTAATGGCTTGTAGGGACTTAAGTGGAATTTTAAAACTCCTCTCTGAAAACTTTAGGGTTGTGTGTTTTGTGTTTTGTTTTTGTTTTTTTTTAATCTCTAAAACTTTCCTCACTGAAAACTGCAGTAAAAAACTCCAGTGCTCTTTAAAATTGTATCCTGAGCTCTGGTACTAGAAAGAGCATAATATTAAAGAAGTCAGACAGCTGAACTTTTCTGTTGTCTGCTTTAAAGTGAAAAGTTTGAGGTTTTCCTCCCTTCTGTTAATTACTGCCCAGAACCTTTCAATTGCTCATTTCATGGGGACATGCTATATTTACATGGTATTGCCATGGTTTTTCTTAGTGGTTTAACCATATCCTGGAACAGCAAAGGTCAATACTAACTGCAGATTACTTTGCCAAAGTAAAATACACCCATATTTATTCCAACCCCCTAATTTTACAGCTATTGGCTTAGTTTAACTTGTACGTCAACTCAGTAGCTTGAATCTCAGATTTTTAAGGTGGGTTGTTTTTTTAGGAGACAGCATTACAGAGTTTTTTGAAACACCCAAAGGGGTGTAGTTTATGTATGTATGCAGGCAGCAGAATCAAAGTACAAAGTGAAAAATAAAAAATGAGTTATAGGGAAACTTGCATTGCAGTGGGAAAGAAGGGGCTGGATGAGGAAGGGTAGCAGTGATGGGAGATCCTTGTCTCCAGCCAGTGGCTATTGGGTTTCAGGGGATGTTGTATTTGTGTGGCAATGGAAATCTTCCAAGGGCCATTATTGGAGGTGAATGAGCAAATCTTGGCTGTGGCAGCTGGTAGACAGCAAGGACTGAAGTGTCCTTTTCCCAGAGCTTTCTGCCCCACAGCCACACTTTGCCAAGGCAGATATTTTTGTCTGACAGATAACACAAGTATTATTTTTTTTCAACAGTACATTGTTTTCTGCAGCTATAATGGCCTTCATTGAGGAGTCAATGCATTCCTCCTGCTATCACCAGATGCAAGTCACAGACAGTAGCTGAAGTATGTTTTTGCTTTTTGAGAAAGACGAATGTTGATATTTTCCTGAAACTATTAATATTACAACCAGTCTGAAGGCAACAATGTTTTGTGAAAACATTTCACCTTTTGAAATGAGAAGAAAACTATTCAGATATTTAAAGCAACAGTTCTGTCTTACTTTTTCTTTGCGTGGCTGTAAATACTTCCCAGCATGGGGTTTGTGGAAGCCACTATGAAATAACATTTTCATGTGTCAATACACTCCCAGGTAAGCGGTCAGTACTGTCAACTGCTTGTAGAAGGAATATAGAGAGAAAAACACAGAAAGAGTCAAAGGTGGCTGCTAGCTCTGTGTACAACAATATAAATAAGAATAATTGTATTAATAGTTTGCAGCCAATTTAAGTGGCTTATTAAAGTTTTTGTAATTACAGTTACCTTCACAGGCATTCACAGAAAGAACTTTTATTTCAGATAAATATAATAGAATTGGAGCTTTGGATTTGGTGTATGAAAAGGGTTGGTTTAGAATATATATTCTCAGCATCACTTCATTTGATATTTGGATAGTAGTAGCATAGACTCAGCATTAGAAGTACACTCAGTGTTGTAACCATTGTTTTCTGGTTTATTTTTTATTCATTCAACTACCTCTAAAAGCTTTACAATATGAAATAGTTTGAAAGTTCTTGTTCTGCTCTTTACAAATACATTACCTGGACAGTGTTTTATCTTTGGTCTGTTCTGTCAGTGTTTCAGTGATTTGTACTTAAGCCTATAGGACTGTTTGTGTTGAGGTGCTTCAGGTTATTTGGCTTTCTTGTGATAGTAAGAGTTTTGGCCCAGACAGCTAGAATTTTTCATTCTATGTTTCTTGGTCACTAGGCTTTGTATCTTGGTTTAAAAGAAATGTAGTTTTAGTATAAAGTCAGTCTGTAAGCTGATAACAGGAGGAAATTTCTAATACCTTTAACTGTTACTTTTAGTCCAATACTGCACAGGGTTGATGTTGTATGTTACAACACTATTCAGTATCATTGCAGAGCAGTGTCAGTTTTCCCTTCAAGTTTCTTGTGTTTTTAGAAGCTACTTTTAAAATAGCTTATTTTTCTGGTCTTTCTATCTAAAATTATCTCAATTCTGCATTATAGTCATTAGATCTTTTATCTGAAGTTTCAAGTGGTTTGGTTTTGATTTGCTGAATTTTAGAGAGCAGGCACTTAAGAGTGAATAAATTACAATGAAAAGCTGTCATTAGGGAGCATGCCCCTCTTTTTAAACAAGAAATAACTGGTGGCTGATTAGGGCAAGCAATAGTCCCAGGTAGCAGGTGTCATTCACATCACCACTGCAGTGGTGCAGCATCTGAGCTGATTGTAGAGCAAACTGTGAAAGATGCAGTACTGTGGTAGGCCAACATGCATGTGAAAGAGGAAAATACTCCAGGTTGAAACTCCTCACACAAGTCTCTTCAGAGTGTATTGCAACAGGGGTAGGCTTGGAAGCTAGCATGGAAGAAACATAGACAATCAGCCTATGACTGAGGAAACGTCTGATGGGTTTAGTAGATGCAGTTGTGCTGTCTGGTCTAATTTGTCACTGTACCTGTATACTCCTATGGAAGGTTGTTTCATGCTGGTAAGAAGTGCAGGCTAGAGGAGACAGGGTGTAGACACGTGCTCTCTTCTCAAAGAAGAGAGGTAACTTATGGCAGAGGAGTAGTCAGCTGGGGGAACATCTCTACATTTGATATCTGCAAACGTCGTGGTGGTGTTCAATGAAGGTGTGGATGTGTGGCTCTCAGCAAGGCAAGCTGTGATCCTGCCCCCTTAATTCAGCAAGACACCATTTATCTAAGGCAGTCAACTCCTGGTGTGGCATTTGGGACAGGCATCTAAGGAAGTGTGACAGTTCTGACTTGGACTGATTAACACTAGAGTGTAAGCACATCCTAGGATGGGGTCCTAGCACAAATGCTGTATTTGCTGCAGATAGGCAACATTCCTGGTCTCCTTGGCAAGCAGTGGTAGCCACTATCCCATATAATGAGACATACATTTATTTCCCAGTAAATGTGCCAAATAAATGGAGACCATTGCCATGTTGATACCATAGTGGTTTCTTTTTGTAGAACTACATTTTTCAGGTCACTGGCTCAAAACTGAAGGAACCAGCAGTTTTAGTGTCTCTAACACAATGACAATTCCTCCTTCCAGTGGAGCCATGACTAATACTTTGTGTGGACTGTGCCTTGTGGAACTCTTTTAGTAAAAAAATGAAAGAAGATACAGATCATTCTTTGAAACTTTTGAAACTGAAGGCCTTGTCTAAAATCCCAAAACATCAGAACAGCAATTGGAACCTTCCCTGCTGCTTTTCATGGCACATAGAAAAGCTTTCTTTGAAAGACCACCTAAAATAAGATGGCAGAACAACTCGTACAGATTTACTGCTTTGTGAACTCAAGAGAGTTACAGAATAAAAGAAAGTTAAAAGACATACAGTTTATCTAGAACACAATACTTAAAGCAGCAGAATATAGAGAAATGGGTGAGCTTGTTTCAGAGTTGAGGGACAAGGCTGAGTATGTTCTCTGTTCTGGGGGACTCTCCCTGTCCTGGAGCTCTTTATTCAGCTTTTTAAATAGTTTTTGAAAATTCAGGTAACCAGAATTTCCCGGAATGCTGTGACTCAGGCAGTCATACCAGACCTACTTTAGTGGATGTGGGATAATTGCCTTTCCTGTAATATTTTCAAAATTATGCTGACTGCAGGGAAAGTAGAGGATTAGGCCAAGGACTGCTTGATTTTTAACAGTAGGTGTGGGAACAACAGCCTTCATGCAATAGATTATTTGTCCCTTTGGCTTTAATGTCTGTAAATTTCAGTTTTACAGATGTTGAAGCCCATATAGGAAATGTCCCATTTTTCTCTTTTTAATGCAGTTGCAAAATTGCAGAAGGTGTTAATTTGACCTTATAACATAACTTTTTTTACAGGTGCGGATTCTCTCTACAGAAATAGTTTCAGCCTCAGTGATGAAAAGCTTAACTCTCCAACTGCATCTACTCCAAGCTTGCCATCTCCATCAGTAACTCCATGTAAAGGTAAACTTAATTTTAACTGTTGGCATTTCCTCCTAATTCTTCTTTCTACGAGCCAGTATTCACACGCATGCATTGACTTTTTTTTATGTGACTGCAAGACTAAGAGTTATTGTTGAGCACACTACAGTTTAAAAAACTATTGTCTTGATTATAAACAACAATAACACATTGCATCCACACTCTTTTTTTGCAGGTAACCTGGCAACACTTTTGGTTTTGAAACACCAAGCTAAAGAAACTTACAGGTTTTTGGTTGATGAGAAATCATGGTACAGAATATTTTACTTAAGAATTTACCAGTGTTACTTCATTCTGAAGAAACTAAGTAGCTTATGTGTCCCATCTATATACAGAAATACTTAGCTTGAATTCAAGGGTGCAGTAGCTGACTCCTCCAAAGCCATATGGCATCATTCAAGTTAACACAATTACTTGGATCCATAAAAACCTTGCCCTGTGGGTACTATCCATGTATTAGTAATTCCTGCCTCTGTTGTAGCCAGGCTTTTTAAAAGCAACCTTCGTCTTGCAGCTGATCTGACTCCTCAGGAGTTTGTTTCCTTCAGGCTGAGGATAAGACTCCTCAGTAGACTTATCAGTGAATCATAGAATGGTTTGAGCTGGAAGGGACCTTAAAAATCATCTAGTTCCAACCCCCCTGCTTAGGCAGGGGCACCTCCCACTAGACCAGGTTGCTCAAAGCCCCATCCAACCTAGCCTTGAACACTTCCAGGGATGGGACATCCACAACTTCCCAGGGCATCCTGTACCAGTGTCTCACCACCCTCACACTAAAGAATTTCCTCCTAATGTCTAACCTAAATCTCCTCTCTTCCAGTTTTGATCCATTACCCCTTGTCCTATCACTACACACCCTAGTAAAAAGCCACTCCCCAGCTTTCCTGTAGTCCCTTCAGATACTGGAAGGCTGCTCTAAGGTCTCCCTGGAGCCTTCTCTTCTCCAGGCTGAACAACCCCAGCTCTCCTAGCCTCTCCTCCTAGGAGAGGTGCTCCAGCCTTTGCATCATCTTTGTGAAATGAATAGTTGTATGTATGTACTACATGGTGCTGAGGTACTAGTCTTCTCAGCTGTATGCTCAAGAGCTTCTTGTGCTTTCATGTCTTTTCTACCATGACCAGACACAAAAAATGCAAGGTAAATGCTTTCTTTTTAATGAGCTTAATGCTAGGGAGAAATAATGAGTCATAGTTAATAAGAGGTAGCAAAAGAGAGTTCAATTAAAGTTGTAGGAAATACTTGGCAAGGAATTACACTGAGGGTCAAGGTGTTTTTCCTGATGAGAAGACAAAGGCAGAAATAGAGTTGGAACTGGTTTGGAATAGACCACAGAAATGAGATAAGGAAGCCACTTGCAGCAAAACTAGATTGCATGGAGCCAGTGTATCCTTAGGAGTGGAAACTTAGGTGGATGTTTGCATACAAATGTATAATCTATGGACCAAAATTAAGGGGTCTCACATCACAGCAAACAAGTGACACAGACATGATTTAGGAGGCTTAGGTTTGGGTAGGACTGGGTGGGATTTGATTAGAGCCTTGTTTGCAATATCTGAATACATGCAAAAAGGAAGGCTCCCACAGTAACAAGGTCATGCATTAGTTGACATAGAGGTGTTTTTTCTCTGCTTCAACCTCTGTTTTTTAAGGAAACTAAACAGAGGATTGTTTTGCTTTTGTCAAATGGAAAACTCTAAAAATAGGATTTTAATTTAGTCTCCTCTGTTTTCTAAGAATGTATTTGGAGCATTCTTGCAGCAACCTTTTTCAGATTTCCAGAAAATATTCCATGGAATGTTCAATACTACTGAGAGTGGTATCACCACAGTGGCATGATTTGGGTTATTGTTTGGTTCCATTGTTTCTCTTGGCCGGAGAAATATGTCATGTCTAAGCAGCATTGACTCTTATTTTGCAGCAAAACTTGGAGACACAAAAGAGCTGGAAGACTTCATTGCTGACCTTGACAGGACACTAGCAAGTAGGTGGACTTTTATTAGTAGGCTGCATCTCACTTGGGATTGTTAAAGAGTGATGAAAGCCCATGTATGGGAGGAGGGGGATAGCAATAGTTTCATGTAATGTGGCTTCTGAAGTTTGCCACTCCTATGGATTGTTATGTGGATAAGGAGGTAAAATAGACCAAATTCTGTTCTTTGGCTGCATGTTCAAAGCATGCATTTTAGCCTGTGTGACAAAGGCTGTGCTCTGATGATTCTCTGTCCCCACCTCTGAGGCACCTGCAATTCACCCCTCCTTAACAGTGTACAGATGAAGTAAACATCACTTTCTTAAATACTCAAAACTCGGCTAAAAACTGGGTGTTTGTTTCTTCATTATAAAGATAAGTAACTGGAGGAATAAACATAGGTGAGGGAAGCATTTATATTCTAGACTTTGCTTTATGAAAGACTTAAGGAGCAGGTATCTCTGTCTTTTGACTTAGAGTAAGTATAAAAATCCTGCTGGTTCTTGTCTTTACCAGGAATGGAATTTATATTGCTTTTTTGTCACTATTCAGAATTTGTATTTTGCAGTTACAGTACTAGGTTTTCCCTTATGATTTTAAAAGAAAAACAACAGAATCAAAAATACACCATTATATTTCCAGCCAGGTACACTGTTTATTCTGGTTGCTTTTTTCTTGTGCTGTTATGGGTGTGATACTGTTGGGTTTTTTGATATGGAACCAGACTGTAAAGCCTCAAACAAAAGAACTGTAGAACTAGACTTAAATAGCAGCATGAGCAAAACTACACCAATAAACTGAACTGAGGGTTTCTTCTATTTACTAGGTGTTTCCCCTTCCCTGTAACTCTTGAAGTGTTGGCCATCTGCCTTGGACTTAACTCAAGACAGCTGCCCTTATGAGTTTCCTACTTCCCTGTCATCTTAATTCTATCTTAATCCTTGTTTCATTTATCTTACTTAGAAGTCAGGAAACTGAAAATATATTTTGTCATGGATGTTATGTTAGAGCTGACTCCATCTTTGACACTGAAATGTAATTGACTGGTCTTCTGATAAACTTCTTAGTTTTTGAAGGTTTGTGTAGAACAGTAAAACCCCAGACCAGCAAATATTTCCATTGCAGCAAACTCAAGGGGTTGCCTGTAGTATATAGGTTTCATTGTCCCCTTGCAAGACACCTCAAAGGTGAGGGCAGGGATTGCCACCTGCTGTAGTGGGTTTTGGTGGGGTTTTTTTATCCCAGCTAAGCAATCTCTAGTGATCTTCAGCAGAGTCTCATTTATACAGTGTCAGTTGTCTTACAGTGATACACCACATCATACAGAAATTCTGAGGGGGAAAAAGTCTGATTTCCATCTGATATTTATTACCACATTTTTGGGGAGCTGTAGTTATATGCTTAAGGTTACTCAGAGCTTTTTACAGGTGCCTTTTCAATCCTAATGCACTCATTAAAACAATAATCACCTTAAATGTTTACATGCTAATATTTTGGCTCTGATGTCAATTTAAAAAGGCATAATTTTAGCCTGTCAGGCTGTCTAGCAAACTGGGTGTAGATAGTTTGTCTGGTGTATCAACAACATGTCGTATTTAATATAGGATTTAAAGATCTTTCTTGTTTTCTCTTTCCAGGTATGTGAAATGAACCTTGGTCATTGTGCTTGCCTGTGAGTGTCCTTTGAAGGTTAAGTGACATCAGTCACTGAGGTCTGCTGCCCTTGTCTGATAACGTTGCTACCCCAGATATTCACCTTCTGAACGTAACCTTTGCAAATAACCTGCAACATCAGTTTGTTGTTTTTTTGCAGCAGCAGATGGAATAAGGTAATTCGAGTGTTGCAGCTGTATTTTGCTTTAAAATATAGCTTGAATTTTAATTTAAAGTTGCTTTTATGAAAGTATATTTGTGATTTTTATATAGTTGAGAACCTTCTAATGCTTTTGTCCATTATAATATATTTTTGTATGCAAATAAACTCTGAACTGGAATCCAGATGTCTGTCTGAAAGCTTCATATGAACATGCAAACTCTGAAACATAAGTGCAAATTACTCTTATTGAAAATATCAGGTTTGAAAATCTCTGAAGATGTATTTCCTGTTAGGCAATATGTATTACTCTGGCTTCATGTGAAACTTCATCTTTTTCTTTTTAAATTGATTAAATGAGATAATGTTTTGCTATGTAAAATTAATACCATCAGGAAAATGATAAAATTGGTCAAACTTACTTCAGATTTGCTTGAATAGAAATGAAGTAACACTGACTTAGTACAGGTTTGAACAATGTCACCTATTTTAAACCTTATGTAAAAGCTAGCTTTAAAATTACATACCATTCTACATGAAGTGTTAATTGGGAGGTCAGACATTGCAGCCCGTGGGTTTAAAGTTATGCAGTCCTGTAGCACCAAGAAAATACTTAAGTGTCTGGATGTTTCTGATACCAGACCCTTGGGTCTGAAACAGTCTACCACTCTAAAGAGACTTCCTGGCCACCACTGTTATGCTGGAAGAGTGGAAGGAAGGTGAACCTGATTCTTTCCATATGCATTAGGCACTGGAGATGTCATTATGGGAGCTCTGCTCCAGCTGCTGCAGGCATTACACTTGGCTCTGCTGTCTGAGCTGCTCATGCAATTGCTCTCTAATCTGTTCAGACCAAGTGAGCTGGGCTTGTTTAAACTTCAGGTCTTGTTTTGACCAAGGCAGGCTAATGAGCAGCTGTATGAGTGGTTTAAGTATTGTGGCCCCTTGGTCTGTTATCTTTTTGAGTGTCTGTGCCCCTGCCACAGCTACCAGCTGGTTGTTCAAGGGACCTGGGAGAATGGATTTGGACCTGTCTTCTGCAGCTTGGGGAGAGTCTACTATGTATTTGCTAATGGGAACACCATGAGGATGATGCAATTTTATTTCCCTGCTTTAGATTTTTTTAAAATTGACCCCAAAATTTGGATAAGGTTAAACGGCATATGACTTCCGGTTTTGTCTATTGGTAAGAAAGTGACATTCTGAACTGGGTACATTTTAATCAATCTGAAACAATGGTGAGGTGGTTGTGTGGGTTTATTCCTGCTTTTAGGCAGAATGACAATGTAAGATGTAAATTATTTTCCTGAAGAGGGAAAATGTCCTTCAAAGTTTTCTACAGTAGATACAAAAGGGAACAGAATAGAAGCAGATTTAGGAGGGTGAAGTTTTGTGTTTCTCTAGGTGAAGTGTAAAGTCTGTGAAGGAAGGTGGGGTGGTTCAGGTCTGAAACACTGATGTGCTGCTACATGCTCTGAGACCTTCTCAGAAGATCCTGCACAGCACGAAATGCACTTTGAGTACTGAGGGAGCCTTGCTGTGACGAAGCCAAAGCACTGTGAAAATTCACTGCTGTTATTCTAGGAACACACAAGAGCAAATCTTCCTTCTGTCTGCCTCTCTGAAGCTGAGAGGGGAGCTTGGCCCTGCTTGCTGGTTCCAGGTGCAAAGGGATATGTTGCTGTGCAAAAACATGGAGGAGGATTCCTTCAGCTCCTGCAGGACTTCCTGGTACACGGAGAGAGAGGAGCACCGTGTCTTTGAGCAGGAGCTGCGGGAAGAGGAGCCAGGAGTGTGGAAGCAAGCTCCTGCTTTTTTTGTTAAGAAATATTATTAGCATAAGGCATGTTTTTAAAGCTGCTTGAGTAGCAGCATTAGCAGTTTTGGCTGGCTTCCTGCCTTTTCACACTCCTGTTTTGTTTTTTTTTTCAGAGAAGACCACCTCAATTGATCATGGGGTGGGGGGAGATGAACAGCTGTTTTTCCTCTGTTCCTCAGATGGGGTAGACTGAGGTACTGGGTGTGAGTTTTCTCCCTTTGCATTCAGTTGTCACTCAATCCTGTCCAACACTCTGGGCCTACAACCAATATATAAAATTGGATGTCTCCCTTTATAGAGTGATGTCACCAGATTATTACAGTACTTTGGAATGGCAATACTTTGTCCTTACAGACACCCAATTTTGAGGATTTTTCCCGTATAAGCAAAGTTTTAAAGCAAGGGATGTTCTTAATTTTGCATAACATCAGCTGGGGATGGAGTTGGGGATTAAGTCACCATCTGTTTGGGTTTTTAAAATTTTATTTATGCATGAACAGGTGGAGACTTCTGCTTGTTTATGCAACGGTTATGGAGCTCATCAGCTGCAAAATCTGGGAGTGCCTTCTGCAGAGCTGTTGATCTGAATTCCTTCCCATTTGAGATGCTCAATTTTGAATGTCTTGTGGTGTCAGAAGGAAGGCACTGCTGTAGATGACATTTCACTGGAGTATGCTTATGACTTAAGTTCATCATCTAATTACATATGGCACTGAAAAATGCATTACTGAGAAAAGTTCCTGCTACACTCTATCCCTAGTGAGTGTTGCTGGAGGCTGCACTGTCCTAATGGACCAGCCTGACTTTTTAATCCTTGTTTTGACCTCGCTCTTTTGCTAAATTTGGATTCAGAAGAAAGTCTCAGCTTTTTGTGTGAGCACCACACATTTAGAAATGGAAACAAGAAGCTTAGACTAAGCAGATGTGTTGCCACAGCTTAACGTGTGTAAGGTGAGGTGCAACAACTATTTGCACATATTCTCTACCTGTGATAAATTCAAGGTTAAATGGATTAGTTTGAATTTCCCTCACTGAGGCTTGAGCTCATGTGTCTTATCTTGGGTTTGCTACTGACTGTGTGTGTCCTGAGTGCTGTCACCCAGGCTTGGTTGATACCTGGAAACTCATTAATCTTGGTATTCATTCTTCTGAGCCCTTAGTAAAAGAAAGAGAAGAGTGAAACGAGGGATTGTTGTTTCTTTTTTCCTGGCTGCATGTGTGTCTGCAGCCACCATTGATGCACTGGCAGCCAGGTGAGTTTTTGGAAGGGAGGAAAACAGCTGTTTTGGCAGTGACAGAGCTTGCTTAGCCCCTGCCAGCTCCTACAGGCTATTGTCCCAGTGCCTTCCCTGCTCCTTTGTTACTGGTGTTTGCTTTGCAGTACATACTGGGTGTGGAACTGATTTTCAGCAGGGTTGCCTAATGTGAAGGGTCAGAGAGGGGACGAGAAACCATGTTCACAGCTTCACAAATTTGTTTAAGCCTTGGTTTCAGTAGTGGCTCCTTGCAAAGAGGAAACCCACAGAGAGTGCTTCTGCCTGCTGGGAAACATTATTGTCTGCAGACACAGAATTTTTTAGTTCATATTATTATTGCTTTTAGATCATTGTCCCACTGCTTCACACCCTGCATTAAGTGAGAAGAATTCACTAGTGGGAAAGGTCCATCCAGCATGGGTCTCTCTAGAGGAACTCGGATGGAGTTTGTCCCAGCTGGTGTTCAGCTCAGGTGGACCCAGTTGACCATCTGAGAAGTATCTGCACCACACTGGAGCCCATCGTGTATGAGACATCATTTATCTGAAGGTGCCTAAATGTGCTAGATATGACATCTGCTAGACTGCTGGAGAGAAACTTCCAGCATTGTGATGTTTGGAACCAAAGTGAGGATCACAAAGCCAACATGACGACAGCAGCTCTTGAACTAAATCCAGGGCTGCGTACTAACAGCACGAACTCCATAGTTGACTCCAGAGTCAACAGGGAAAACTCTTATTTTCTAGTTTACTTTCTATACTTCTGACTTCATTGCAGCCTGGCTAACAGCTCTAGCTGTCTAAATAACTTCACAATAATGTAAGATGATCCTGCCTGCTGTATCTCATCAGCTTAGAGCTGTAAACCAGATCTTTTCAAGGTCCTTTTTCTTTCTTACAGATTGGAGGCTATCAGTTGAATGGTGTGGGTTGGTATGTGGGATTAAAACAGGCCAGTCAATACAAAGGGGCACTAATGCTTTGGTTGCTTTTCTCTTCCCTTGGAAATGAAAATATTTATCAGTTCAGCCCTTAGAAACTACAGACTAGTTCTACAGAACACCTCTGCTCTCCCAAAGGCATAAAGAACTCACTGGCTTTTCTGGAAGTTTGGGGATGCTTAAATGGGCTTAAAGCTGGAAGTGTTGCCTTCTCTGTAGCTTGTAGCTGTAATACTGACTGCCATCCTTCAGTTCTGTTTATAATGTATTTTGGATCAGTATTTATAATTAAGAACTTTGCCCTTATCTCAAAAACCAAATCACAGTGTTTTGGTATATATCCGGTCTTCACATTTCCCCCAAAAAAGGAAACTTGTTAGCATATGAAATCAGATCAGGACTGATCCCACCTGACTTAGGCACTTACGTAAAACACTGAGGATCTGATCTGGCCCTTGGCTCCTTCAGAAGCCATTACAAGAAGGAGCAGGAAGCTGAATTACCCTCTGATGATGTTCCTTTGCTCCAGCAAATATTGCAAAAGACTGAATAAGCAAGCTCTTCACTTGGGCTTCTTAATCAACTGCTTAAAGAGAAGTGTGTCTACCAAAGCAAACCTGCTTATGACTGCCCTTAGAGTGTAACAGTTTGTGGGGCTTGAAAACCAGAGGCAAAACTACCCAGCTGGCCAGGGTGATCTGTTCTGGAGGTGGTTTACATCAAATGGTACAAGCATGGCATCTTGCTTCAGCCCTGTGACTTGGGGCATCCATCCCCCTCCCCGTGCCAGGCAGGGGGGCAATGGGGAGCCCTGGGT